TTGTTGTTGTTGTTGTTGTTGTTGTTGTTGTTGTTGTTGTTGTTGTAGTTGTTGTAGTTGTTGTTGTTGTTGTTGTTGTTGTTGTTGTTGTTGTTTGTTGACGGTGATCACGATGGTTGGGACGGTCATGAAAGTCACGTGTATGATGGATACGGCTACTGTTGTTTCAGCTTGTGATGTTGATCATGGTGATGTTGAAAGAGGAAATGGTTTCAGCATCATCAACAGAACGATGATGGCTGCACTGTTGATGACGGCCGTTGTTCACGGTGGTGATCTTTTGGACGGTACGAGTAACACCACTGTAGAGCGTGGTGAGGCGCTGCTCTTGAAAGTCCAGATCCTCGCATTTCATGCACACCACGTGGTCCTAAACATAAGTCGAACGTGCCCAGTCGGATCTCTGCAAACTGGCCAGCGCCGCTCTGCGCCGCGACGATGCTGGTGGATGTGCATCCCGACTGCAAACTGATGTGTGATGGGGCTTAGGCTTAGGCCTACACTTCGGGGGAAGTTGCGTTTCCTTGGTTGGGGTCTTGGGACCGGACTTCGGCGCTGGACGAGGCCCTTTGGGTTATGCAGCCCTTCCCTACAAGGATGATTCGCACTGGGGGATGAGGCTGCGGAACAATGTGGAGCTGCCGTTAAACCGCCAAACCCTCGTCCCTTCAGCTCTTCTACCTTCAAGGCCTTGGAGCAAGAAAGCAACCACAGCAACATTGATAAGGCCCTGGAGCTCTGGTCGAAATGGGAGCTTCCCTGGCCACCGCCAGCGCGTAGTGCATCCAAGGCGTGATCGGGCTTGGATCTGGGATTGTGGGGTATTGACATGCTGTTGAGTTCAGCACATGGGCTTCAGACTTCAAGGGTGGTATTGTTCAGGACGATTCTTTATTTCGGGCATGTGGACTTCGATTGGTGAAGCCGTACCGGAGACATTGAAGTCTGGAGCATCACAACAACTACTATTAATACAATCATGATTGCTACTATTACTATCATTATCCTTAGTACAAGTAGTAGTAAGATGACTAAATGACCAAATATCACTAGTACTATTGTGAGTGTTACTATTGTGGTTCTTCGTACGGAAACCTCAAACTTCCTAACCCCGATACCTTGGGCAGGCACCTGCCGCTGATGCCAAGGCGGCGGGCACAAGCAAGGACTGCAGTGTAGGGCCTCGGGGCTTAGACGGATTAGGGCTTGGGGTTCTAGGGTTGTGGGGTTTAGGGCTTAGGGCTGTAGGGTTGTAGGGCTTAGGGCTTGTAGGTGTCGTGTTTGGTCTTTCGCCGCTAGAAGTGGGGAGATGCCAATTCAGCTATGAAGCCTAATGGCAAATCCCGCCAGACGGTCGCCTTCAGACCGTGATGTCCTGCAGCCCAGGAGATCGTTGAGCAAATTCCCCAACTCCCACACATCCAAGCTCATGGCTGGAGGATGTGCGGTGCAGAGTGCGGCGAAGGCTACTCTGATCCGCTGAGCCCCAAACCCTTCAATATATAGTGAATCACCAAACCCCTAGAAACTTGAGACCCCTAAACCCCCAAAAAACTACAATCCCAGATCGACATGCTGGGTCCTTGGATGCTTTGTTTCGGGCAGAGAAGTGATGGGGGCAGGGCCTTTTAGGGACTTTTAGTGTCTGTGTTAGGGCTCAGGGGCTTGAGAAGGGCTTGTGTTTAGGATCCTAGGCTTTAGGGGTTTAGGGTTTAAGGTCCTTCTTTGGGTTTGACATGGTGTAGGGGCTTAGGTTTCAACCCTTCCTGCAGACTGCATAGCAGTACAGTTCCGCGAATCTCAAGGCCCCATGTGCTTACTTTCCTACCTATGCCTTATGCTGACCAACAGTATGGCTGGGAGTCTTGGAGGCAAGCCTCCGAATCTTCAGTTCCTAAACTTCAGCTACATTTCTAATTCTAAGCCCTGTCAAGATTGATTTTGGTGGCGGTCATGGTGCTTCTGAGTGTGAGTATGAGGACGAATAGGATATTGATGGTAATGATGATGATAATGCATGACGCAGATATGCAGGCGGACATGCATGTAGCGAACGAAGAACACGCAAGCATCATGTTCAACAAGCACGGACATGATGATAAGAAAGCTCAAAGATAAACCCGAGAAGCCCAGGTGGCGCCGCATACGGCTCTTTGTCGCGTTTGCCTTCGGCCATGCCCGGCGTGGCACGCAGCCGGCCAACCGATACCTGGGCTTCCGCGTGAAGGAGCCATGAGCGGATCAAAGAAGGTGTCGTTACCGCGCTTGATGGCCTTTGCGTGGGATGCAGGCTGACCCTCGCTCAGTCAGTGGCGTGTGTGTCGCTCTTACCTTGCCACCTGAAGCCCTGCAGAGCCCCACGAAATACACAGAACACAAAGAATGTAGACTGCCAGACTATCATTAACTGCTGCCTCGACCGAGTAGGATCAGACCACATATTCGAGTATCGCACGAATAAGGCACGTAGATACACACATAGATACACATGCATACCTGCATATTACGCACACATATGACAAACAAGCAAACAAACAAACAAACAAACAAGCACACATACATACAGATATAATAAACATGCATGCATACATGCATACATACATACATCCATACATCCCCATACATCCATACATCCATACATCCGTACATACATACCTACATACATGCACGCGTACATGCATACATACATACATACATACATACATACATACATACCTACATAGCTACATAGCTACATACCTACATACTTACAGACAGACAGACAAACAGGCAGCCAGGCAGACAGGCAGACAGACAGGCACACAGATGTGTGTGTGTGTATGCATATATATATATATATATGTACATACACATACATACATACATACATACATACATACAGACATACATACATACATACATACATACATATATACATACTTATGTGCGTGTGTGTCTCATGACTCTGGGGCATAGACGCGCCGGAGGCGCTTGCGGAGCGCAGACCCTTGGGCAGCATCCGCAGCTGTCTCGCTGATGCTCACAGCAACCAGAAAGGGATCGCCAGGAATGCTGAGAGCAAGGCATGTTGATGTGATTGGCTGGGTTGTAGATCCGATCCTATTGGACAGACGGTTTGAAGCTGCAACTCTCTCACACAGCTATCCACGGCGACCACACAGGCTCTCAAACATACAAAATGCGCACACTATTTTTATGTCCTCGACGAGGTCAGCCGCAATCCTTAGGCCACGGACACATCTGCTGTCTCCCACCGCCCCCCTAAACTGCAAACCCCGAAATCCCGAAATCCCGAAGCCCCCTGGTCTTAATTTACAATCCGAAACAGGTAAACCCTGAAACCCCGCTACCTGAACTCCGCAGGACTTCGCAGGAGGCAAGGGTCAAGTTGGCGGCTTTCGCCGTGGCACCGTACACTGCGTCGCCCTGAATCCGCGGCACATGGCCTTGGTTTGGCTTTGGGTCTGGGATTTAAGTCTTATCTGTACGGCTTTTTAGAATCGCTCCTAGGGTTTAGGGTCTCGGACTCTACGACGACTCTAAGATATCGGAAGCATTCTCGTATTCTGCTCTTCTGTTACTCCCTGTGTGTTTCGAGCCGTGTCCAAGGCCGCTACGCAGGAAGACCTTGAATGTTCTGCTTCGTCAGCACTGATGCATGATCTTGCTCTTCTGTGATTAGGGGGTTTCCGAAAACAGGGGACCCTACTATAGTACCCTAAATAATAGGATCATTATTATAAGGACCCCAAAACAAGGTACCCCCTATTTTCGGAAACTCCCATCTTGCTCTTCTGTGATTAAAGCATGAGAATTGGATGATTTGGCTTTCGTTCTGGGAGGGTTAGGACCGTTGATGTCTCGCTCTCGCAGTGCCATTTCACGATGTGCGGCAGGATTTGTGATCACGTACACCTTCAACGGAGCTTTCACAGAGAACTTGTATATTTCGGGACGCAAGCTTTGGACTTCCATCTACCTAGAATTGCCTAACATGCAAAGGGCTGTAGGACAGGGCCACTGAGCGCCGTGCCCATGTACCCAGGGATCTGCTTGCCTCAGGATAACAAGGTTCAATGGGGAAAAAATTGCCCTCAAGTCTTTCACAGATATGCTTGCATCGAAGCTGCTGCAGTGCTCACGCACGCGGGCAGCATGTCGGGCCTTGTGTTCAGGCCTCCCGGCATCGAGGACGCGAAACAGCCGATCCAAGTTCAGATTCTGCTAAGCTCTCTGCCTGTCGTCTGCATGCTGCTCTGCATAGAAGTGATCTACAATACGTGCACGTGGGAGATCGTCGTCCTGCGTCACGGCCTGGGCTCATGGGTGGGGAGGCCTTTGCCAATCCACTCGGGCCTAGAGTTGGGACAAGGCTTTACAGCTCTTGCCAGGTTCTCCAAGCTCGGACTGGAAGTAAAAGCATTTTCTTTGAAGAAACCACGAACTTTCTGGTCTGCTGCAGTGTCTGAAGGGAAGGCTGTCGCCCGACGGTCTTGAAGGAACCCCTTGGAGCTTCGGGAAACCATGCCCACATGAGGGGTACCTTATTTTGGGGTCCTTATAATTGGGATCCTACTATTTAGGGTACTAGTACTATATTAGAATCCTCTATATTCAGCTCGTCTTTCCGCACAGCTTGCCACGCGGCCGGCAGGTGCTCCGGCTGCGGGGCGCGCTCCGCAATGGCCCTGCCAGCCTCTCAAATAGAACCCTTTCCGACGCAAGAAGGGGGATTCGGGCACGCTCTTCTCTTCTTTTTTTGACTTGTAAGAGCCCTGCCATCTTGCACGTGTGGATGATGCCACCACCGTGAATGTTTTCTGCGTGCTTGCTGGGCCTAGGCTGCGCAGAGTTCGAAGGCGAGCTCCTTCCCAAGCGAAGCACCGAGCTATGCGCATGAAACCGCTGTAGCCAGGGATAGTAGGAACCTGTCAGTCCGGTCATCGCGGATCCGAAGGGCAGAAGGGAAGGGTAGGAGAGCCCTCTGAGACGATGACCCAGTAGGAGCGCACCACATCGGCTCTGGCCTTGCCAAGAGGATGTGGGTCCGGTGCCTCAGGGCCACTCCGGAAACATCTGGGTAGTTGTCAAAATTATGGTCCCTTTTGGGGTACCCTAAATAATAGGTGCCGTATTATAATAGGGACCCAAAACGGGACCATAATTTTGACAACCACCCATCTCCTTCCCCAGCGTTTGAGAGTGACCTCTGAGCATCCGGCCGGTTCGGAGAACCGATCCTCGGGGAAGGGCTTTGCCCGCTTCTGCCTTTGCAACGGCCGGAATCCCACCAGAGCAGGTTTATCCAGGCAGATCTGGGGGGTTTCCGAAAATAGGGGACCCCAATATGGTACCCTAAATGGTAATATTTTTTTAATTGTCCCCAAAATAAGGTACCCTAGTTTTCGGAAACTCCCATCTGTTCCTGAAACTAAGGAATGAAGGATCCCGAGTTGCTTTCAGCACTCGGCTCTAAGGTCTCTACGAGGCTGCCAACGCTTGCTGCAGGGCCGCCTTCTTCTCCTCCAGCTGCCACCTGGGGCGACAGCCAGCGCCCTTTTTGGGCGCGCAGAGGCCCAGGAGAGGCTGCGAAGCATCCCGAGGCCCGTGCTGCTCATCCCGCGCACCCGCGCCGACTGCGGCCTGCGTCCGACCATAAATGTCCTCACCATGGTTTAGGGTTTAGGGCTTAGGGTTCATGGTGGTCAGGCTGTACTGAGCGACCCGTGACTACTGCGTCCATCGAGACCTGAGCAGAAGGAGCAGGCCACCACTAACATCCCAAACACCCTTCGACCCCTCGAGAGACAGGATCAACGAAAACGAGTAGAGCGCCGCGACGTTGTCCTCTGCTTTGGCCGATGGGATGAAACCGGTGTAGCCGGGCACGCGCGAATTCATGCCTCATAGAGATTCAATGAGTCCACTGTGCTGCACGTGCTGCTGTGATGTCACGCAGGTCTTGGAGGGACAGGATGGTTCAGATTGCAGCAGCGCATGAACTCTCTCAGGGGTGACTGGAGTATGAAGTGCACTATGAGCTGGAAAAGCTTTCCAAGCGATGCTACACATGACGCATGGTGAGGCTGTGAGCCGTGCACTGCTCGCCGACTGCACGCCGGGCACGCTCCAGTTTGTCCTGCAGGCCCGCCAAGGGCAAGCTACCTTCCCCCAAAGCAGTCTAGCAACCATGCCACACACTGTTGCAGTCATCAAGCAGAGGTATGCAGGTTCTTGTGCACATGACCAGACTCGTGAATCTCCAGCTCCGATGTCTGCCGGCCTGTGGCGGTTCCTCCGGCAATGACCGGTTGGGTCGCCATCTCAGATCCTGCGCAAAAAACGGAGACCAAGGATCAGCCATGGGCTTCTCAAGACATGACAACTCAAGCAATATCGCGTACATTGCAAGCGTGGATGTGCGATTCTATTGTACATATACGTATATATACATAGATAGAGGGAGAGAGAATGATAGAGAGAGAGAGAGAGCGAGAGGCATAGAGAGACACGGAAAAGAGAGGCAGAGAGATACGCAGGCAAAGAGGCCAAGAGATAGAGAAATAGAGAAGCTGAGACAGACAGACAGACAGAAAGACAGGCAGACCGACCGACCGGCGGACGGACAGACAGGCAGACAGGCAGACAGGCAGACAGAAAGACGGAAAGACTGGCAAACAGGCAGACAGAAAGACTGGAAGACAGAAAGACAGAATGGCAGAAAGACAGAATGCCAGAAAGACAAACAGAAAGTTAGCCAGTGGAGTGAGAGTGAGGGAGTGAGTGTGCGATTGAGGGCGTGAGTGAGAAAGCGAGCGGGCAGGTGGGCGGGTGAGCGGCTGAGCGGGTGGGCGGGCGGGTGGGTGGGATGGGTGGGTGGGCGAGCGAGCAAGCGAGCGAGTGAGATAGCTAGCTAGTGAATTAGCCAATGAGTCAGTCAGTTATGAGTTAGCGAGTTAGTCGGGTAGCGAGTTCATGAGTTGTTTAGCTAGTCAAGTATTCGGTTAATCAGTCAGTCAGTCAGTCAGTCAGTCAGTCAGTCAGCCAGCCAGCCAGGCAGTCAGTCAGTCAGTCAGTCAGTCAGTCACTGAATGAGTGAGGTAGATTGTTAACTGCGTGTAGGCAGGATAGGTCGTGAGTTGTCTAGTCTGTTTTTCATTAGATGAGTTAGATTCGGCCAGGCCAGGCCAGCTTCGTTAGGTAGATAAATAGATAGAGAGATAGATAGATAGATAGATAGATAGATAGATAGATAGATAGACAGATCGGTAGATAGGTAGAGATGGATACACAGATAGACAAACAGATAAACCAGTAGATAGTTGTAGGGGAAGGATACTCGATTTGGAGTAAGTCTTCTCGAGCTCCACAAGAAGTCCTGGCTGGGCCGATCGGGCGGCGCACGCAGTGGAGTGATCCCCGACGGCCGCCACGGCCTGACGGTAAGCAGAGATCGCCGCCATAAACTCTGAAGCCCGCAAATGTACTTATAGATTTTTCTACTGCATGTTGTCTTTGTCTGTATCTATCTTCACGGTGCTATGTATACATTTATGTATGCATGCAATTGCGTACGTAGGTGTGCCTGTCTGTCTGTCTGCCTGCCTGCCTGCTCGCCTGTATGTATGCGTTCGTAGATGTATGTATGTAAATACGCGTGTAGGCACGTGTACATACATACATACGTACACACATACATACATACGTACATACGTACATACGTACATACCTACATACCTACATACCTACCTACATACATACATACATACATATATACATACATACATGCTTGCTTGCTTGTCCATGCACATGTACATGCACATGTACATGCACATGTACACATACAGATGCACATAAAAATGTGCATATGCATCTACACCTTAGACATGCACTTATACATATGCAACTACATATACATCTGCAAAGGCAGCCACTTATATGTGCATGCATATATATACATATATATATATATAGATATAGATATTACCTCTATGCATATATATACATATATGTATCTACAAATGCAGGCATACAAATGCATGAACAGCAAATAAACTGTGCGTGTCTGTGTGTGTGTATATGTATATACATGCATACATAAATATATCTATATATATATATATATATACATAAGTATATACATACAAATGTGTGTATATATATATATGTCTATCTATCTATATATATATATATATATGTATGTATATGCGTGTGCTGGTGCATGTATATGCCGTGCGTAGTACACAGCTGAAGCACATATGCATGTGTATATATATATATATATATAGAGAGAGAGAGTTTCTGTTCAAATAAACAAATGAATAAATAGTTGAATAAATAAACAGTATGTGTTTATGCATACATATACAAACTACGTATACATAGAAATATAATATATATATATATAT